GATCTTGCAGCTCTATGGTGAGGCAGTGTCTGGCGGGTCTGAGGAGCACATCACTCCAGAGGCAGAGTGGATGGAGAAGCAGGGCTATAGGTGGACTGAGTCTGAGGAGGATGTCGAGGAGACCATCCCTGCTGCCGAGGAGACCGACGGAGAGGCTTGGGACGAGTTCTCTGCTTGAGCCACCTCTTGTGTGTAGGTGTCCTCTCTACCTTTTTGGCGTCTCGATGCCAAAGGGGGAGAGAGTGTAGGGATTTGCGAGTGTGTCGTGTGTTTGCTGCTTTCTCGTTTGAACTATTTGCTGCTTTCTCGTTTGAACCTCGGTAGCTTTACTTCGTATGGTGTAAGACATATGCACTCTTCTATCCTAGCGAGCTTGTGTTATATTGTGTTATCTTTATGCTATGCTATGATTATTATCATGCCTTGGTCTCTAAAATATAGGGGGAGTGTTGATCCTAGTCTGTGTGCTATGCAGTCCAAAGCATTCATCTAAAGTGCACACATCTAGGGGGAGCTCGTCTATATTTTAGAGCGGTGGGGTTTGCCCCTGTTCTAAATTATCTTATCTATATGCAAATCCTGTGTTGTCATCAATCCACCAAAAAGGGGGAGATTGTAAGGGAATATTTATCCCTCAGGTGTTTTGGTGATTGATGACAATGCATTTGCGGACTAATCGTGTGCCTTGAGTTTCTCAGATACTTCATCTCTAGGCATGAGATGATTCGGTGCCCCTCGGAGACTATTGAAGTCGGCATTTTTCTACGTTTCTCTTTGGTGGATTTGGGTCGTAGGAGAGCCGTACTATTAAGAGGGGGTCCGCGTCGGAAAGGTTTGGATGGAATCAACACGTACACTTGTTCCTCCTTTCCCTGCATTTTGGTGCTTCCCTTTGTTATGTTGGTTGTGCGGAAATCTGATGACTACAGCTGTACTTGCGGTAGTACCGCAAGTACACGCAGTAGTACCGCTGTGTGTCATGATAGTACCGCTCATCTGGAGCGGTAGTACCGTGGCTCCTAGGCCTTGTGCCTCTCTGGTGCGGTAGTAGGGGTGGATGTAATTTTTTACATCCGCGCCCCCCACGGTAGTACCGCTCGTCCAGCACGGTAGTACCGCGGGGGCCCACGGTAGTACCGCTCCCTAGGAGTCGTAGTACCGTGGCCCTACTACCTAGTACCGCAGTGTCGCGGTAGTAGGCGCGGATGTAATTTTTTACATCCGCGCCCGCACGGTAGTACCGCGCCTCGCGAGCGGTAGTACCGCGTCGGATTTTTGTACCACCTCAGTTTCAGCGGAAGTAGGCACGGATGTAATTTATTTCATCCGCGCCCTTCCCAGGCCGTGACTTTCCTGCCAAGCGGTAGTACCACAAGTGGGTGCGGTAGTACCGCGCAGGCGGTAGTACTGCCCCCTTGTCAGGCTAGTTCCGGCCTGTGCTGCTGTCGCGGTAGTACTGTGGTCAGCCACGGTAGTACCGCATAGCTTCACGGTAGTACCGCGCCCCTGGAGCGGTAGTACCGTGGGTCGCGGGCTGAACATGTGGATAACGGTTGGATTCTTTCCACGACTATATAAGGGGTGTCCTCTACCTCTAGTTGACTACCTCTTCCATCTCTAAGCTCCATTGTTGCTCCAAGCTCCATTTTCACTCGATCTCTCACCCTAGCCAATCAAACTTGTTGATTTGCTCGGGATTGGGTTACAAGTGCCCGATCTACACTTCCACCACAGGATATTTGATTCCCCTCACTTATCCCTTGCGGATCTTGTTACTCTTGGGTGTTGAGCATCCTAGACGGTTGAGGTCACCTCGAAGCCATACTCCATTGTGATGAAGCTTCGCGGGATTATTGGGAGCCTCAAAGTGTTGTGGAGATAGCCCCAATCTTGTTTGTAAAGGTCCGGTTGCCGCCTTCAAGGGCTCCAATAGTGGAATCACGGCATCTCGCATTGTGTGAGGGCGTGAGGAGATTATGGTGGCCCTAGTGGCTTCTTGGGGAGCATTGTGCCTCCACACCGCTCTAACGGAGACGTACTTCCCCTTAAAAGGAAGGAACTTCGGTAACACATCCTCGTCTCCACCGGCTCCACTCTTGGTTATCTTATCCCTTTACTTTTGCAAGCTTACTTGTGCTATACCCATTGCTTGCTTGTGTGCTCATTGTCTTTGCATCATATAGGTTGTCCACGTAGTTGCACATCTAGACAACCTATTTCATTGCAAGGTTTAAATTGTTAAAGAAAAGTCTAAAAATTGTTAGTTGCCTATTCACCCCCCCCCCTCTAGTCAACCATATCGATCCTTTCACTACTGCCATTGGTCGCATAACCAGTGGAACTTTTGAGTATCTTGGAGAGAGGTTGAGAAGCAAGCTCCAAGGAGGAACTGAACGGCTTATTTCTTGCGCCGGAAGAGAGGTTAGAATCAAGGCCGTGGCCCAAGCAATACCAACACACTCAATGAGTTGTTTTAAATTGTCAAAGAAGGTTTGTAAGGGTTTATCCTCTGTCATGGCGAGGTACTGGTGGAGCAGCTCGGTTGATCGGAAATCTTTACACTGGATCAACTGGCCTTCTCTAGCTAAACTAAAGGTTGCTGGAGGGATGGGGTTTCGCCAATTGGAGCTTTTCAACCTAGCTCTACTTCGAAAACATGGGTGGAATTTGATCATGAACCCAGAATCCCTTTGTGCTCGAGTTCTTAAGGGCAAGTATTTCCCGAACAATGATTTCATGGAGGCCACCATCCCAAAGTGTGCTTCGACTACGTGGAGGGCGATCATTGCCGGCAGGAAAGCGCTGGGTGGGGGCCTTATCAAACGTGTGGGTGACGGCACCACGGTGTCCGTTTGGCATGACAGATGGGTGCCCGCGCTGATTTCCCTGAAGCCTTCTGTTCACATAGGTAACACTACTATAACAACAGTTTCCGAACTTATTGATGTGGACGCCGGCATGTGGAAAGTTGATATGGTGAGGGAGCATTTCATCGCTCCAGAAGCAGAGGCCATCCTCAATATCCCCCTGAGGATTGGTGGTGGACCTGACTCGGTTGCATGGAACGCTGAAAAGTCTAGTAACTACACTGTTAAATCCGCGTACCGCTCTCTAATGACTCAGAATGAGCATGTTGCTCTTCAGGAAGGGACGGCTACAGAATCTTCAGAGAAACAGAAGCAGTTGTGGACTAGACTCTGGAAGCTGAAAGTTGTGCCAAGGGTGCGAGTGTTTTGGTGGCGGGTGTTGAGAGGAATTTTGCCTACGGAAAGCGCCCTCAAGCACAGCCACATCGCAACGCTGGCTCGGTGCAAAGTCTGTCTTGCTGCAGACGAGGGTTTGTATCATGCACTAGTAAAGTGCACGCATGCAACAAATTTCTGGCGGGAGGTGAGGGAGTGGCTGCATATCAAACTTCCGGAGCTCCATACAGCCACATGGTCTAGGGACATTTTATGTGACCCCAGATTTGATGAGAGGGAACAAGCAAAAATCATCACTGTCATGTGGGCGATCTGGACCTCAAGAAACAATATAACCCATGACCGAGCGTGCTTGAATCCTTTGGTTTCTCTGAAGAAGATCAGGGAGGATTTGGCATTGTTGGAGTTACTGAACCAGCATGCAAAGATTCTACCAGGTCATGGATGGCGGCCACCTGAGAACGATGTCATCAAGATTAATACAGATGCAGGACTGTCTGTCGAGGCCAGTATCTGTGGACTGGGGGGCGTTGCCAGATCTGCTGATTCATTCCTTGGAGCCTGGTGCAAGCCAATGCAGGGTTTTACTGACCCACCGGTGGCGGAGGCGCTAGCTCTCCGGGAGGGAGTGATCTTTGCCCAGCTTCGGGGCTATGTGCGAGTCGAGATGGAAACCGATAGCTCGGAGGTTGTCCAACTCTGGAACTCGCGCCGTAAATCGCGCTCGCTAATAGCGCCGGTGTTGCTTGATATTGAGGGTTTAGCTAAAAAAAATTATGTTTTCTCCATTCGTCATGTAATGAGACAGGCCAATGTCCCGGCCCATCTATGTGCTAGACATGCATGCACATTAAAGGTGTCTGAAGCCTTATGGCTGATAGTGCCGCAGGCCGTTTGATGGAATAAAAGAGCCCTCATTTCCCCGGAAAAAGAAACAATAAATATGAATGTATGCTCCATAATATATCTACTACAGTACTAGATGATTAAAAAAAAGTCATTACTGTATCGGCGTCGACACGGCCGTGCTCGTCGTACAGAGGCCCAAGCCGGCCGTGCGGCCTCCGCAAGCTCCAGACTGCCGCCGCCCCCTCGTGGAGGAGCGCTCGTTGCAACGGCCTTCGCCGCCGCCACCACACGCTGCTATCGCTGTATTAGTATCACCGCCGCCGCATCGCGCCTCTCGGCAGCAGCCAGCGGGTTACTTTTGCCCTTCCCACGGAACACGCCGAACCTGTTCGGTGATTTGCCTAGGAACGGACTGGCGCTTGAGATGCTTGCACGAAGTTGCACCTGAGGCTCAGGTAACTACAGGACTCGTATATGCTCATTACAATAATCCTGAAGCTGTCATTTTTGTTCGTGGTAGTTTTGGAACATGACATAACTTTTTTGCAAGGTTATGTTCTGCTAATAAATCTGCAACCATACCTGCAGGTTATATAGTTCCGGAGAAGTGCACAAAACAATTTTATTACTAGATTACGTTCTCGATTTATTGTGCTGCTAGATTATAAGTGGAAATGAATAGGCATAGTAACATCGATCGCGTCTCAGGATGATGCAACTGACCATATTTTATTTTGAGGGAACGCCTCCCGGTGCTCATCATACAGAGGCCCAAGCCTCCCAGTTTGTGAGCTTCAGTCTACTGTCCTACAATTGACTATGAAAGTAGCCTTAAAGACGATCAGAATATTCTATCACAACAACCCCCTAACTGGATCATCTTTATTAAGATTCTTTTCTCTCTCTTTTTGCGTGAAAAATTCCACTTTGAATGATCACATCAGTTAATCAAACTCTGATTTGCATCAAATAAACTTTTGAAGTTGTGACAGTGTAACCAGCTCGTGCGCCCACACCAAAGAACTTTATTAATTTTGTTTCAGATTCTTCTCTTGGCTTGGACTTGACTGTTAAGTACAGAGAATAGGCAGAGATAAAACTATATATACAATGATAAAGTTAAGTTTCGGTGTATCATGTATCACTCCGATGGAAATTTGGCAAATGTTGTGCACCGTCCACAGAAACTGCATAGAAGCCATCTTTGTTGCGGTATGATGGGGGAAGTCTTTAATCCCCTGCCCAGTGTCTACTATTTGGTGTCAAGAAGTTGTCTTCTCTCTATACCTCATGGAGTAGTGCACAAATTGCGCCAGATTCAGTAAGCTAAGAGCAGCCATCATCCAGAAGAAATAGTCCAAATGCCCTTCATTCAGATTATCCGGGATCCATCCAGGAGCATCATCGTGCGCCGTGGCCACCGCAACAACACTAAATACGAGCGCGTTGAAGTAAGCTGCGGACGCAACTGCAAGCTGTGCGAATGCTGCACAAAGGCTCTTCATGGTGTAAGGGGCCTCATCGTAGAAGAACTCCATCATGCCGATTCCTGCGAAAACCCCGGCTGCACCATGCATTACATATGCAGGCACTTGCCACAGAATGCTCACTGGCACGGGCACATTCTGGTCTCTCAGGCCGCTAGCTTGTGCGGTCGCCAATCTCTTCATCTCGAGCATTGCTGAGTAGATCATGGTCAGCATGGACAGCGCAAAGCCAATTCCAAGGCGCTGCGTCTGTGAGAAGCCCTTCGCCTTGCCAGTATAACGCCGCGCGAGTGGCACTAGCACGGATTCGTAGATGAAAACCCCGATAAGGACGCTGAACACGCTGACAATAGAGAGGGAGGCAGGTGGGATTGCGAACTGGCCGACGTGGTTGTCCATGACCATCCCCTGCTCGATAAACGTCGATGCGGTCTGCCCAGCGACTGCATAGAAGATCACGAACGACGCCCAGACGTGGAACATCCGTAGCAGTATCTTCAACTCCTCAACTTGGGTCACTGTGCAGAGACTCCATGAACACAACGGCAACACCATGCATGTCTGGTCTAACGGGGGCGGCACAGTGGCAGCCTTGTCTAGAAACCTGAAGATTGCAATCACATAATTATAACTTGTAGATATAAGAGGTAAGCTCTCGCATTTAAGTTTACTCATAGATGCAGTCTCTAGATATGGTTTCATAGCAAATTTCTGATATCTTTTGTACTTGCAAATAAGATGTCACAGCTCACAAGTGAATTATTGTCTTGCACCAAAAGATGTCATAGCTCAATGAAAATGACTTGTTTTTAATTGTCAAATTTAGACAATAGGTTGACTTGAGTAATGCAATAATTGGAGTACCTGAATTGACTTGTATGCTGAATTTTGTGACTTGATTCAGCTGATGATGACGAACTGGCCAGCTCGTACAAGAGTGAGATATCATCTGGCAGTTGCACATGCCACTTCCTGACGGCCGCAACGAGCACCTGACAGATACTCGTGAATGGGCTTGCTCTCAGTTTCCTGAACCTGTACACTCTGGAGCCACCAACAAATACTGCTAGGCCCAAGGTCATGAGCACCGTTGGGATTGCAAAACTGAGCCCCCACCCACCATTGTCCTGCAGCCAAACAAGCAGTGTGCTTGACAGAAGGGAGCCGAGATTGAGCAGGAAGTAGTACCAGTTGAAGAAGGAGCCCTTCTTCTCCAGCTCCGTCAGGTCTCCACTGTCGAATTGGTCGGCACCGAAGGCTGACGCACAGGGTTTAATGCCACCGGTCCCAAGTGCGGCAAGATAGAGTCCCAGGTACACCACCACAGTACGATGAACATCACCATGGTAGTAGGATGTCGGGACTGATGCTGCAACTGTGAGCACGAGCATTCCCTGTCAAAGTGAAAGTGTTCAGAGCTGCAATTGTCATACAGATCTGGTCGGTTAGCTGTGCTAGCTGTACTTACGATGGTGTGGACTGGAAGGGAAACAACTATCGTCCAGTATCTTCCCAGATATGAGTCCGCCAAGAAGGCCCCAATAAGTGGTGTGAGGAAGCATGCGCCGACCCAGGCAGAGACATCCCGCGCAGCAGCGACCTTGCTTTCGTGGAGCACGGTGGCGAGGTAGGTTACCAAGTTGGTCGCGATTGCGTAGAAGGCGATGCATTCGCAGAACTCGACACCTGAGATGCGTTGAGGTGGTCAGCAGTAAAAAGAGAAGAAGAGAAAAAACAGGGGCAGTTTGCACGAGTGAATTGCTGTTGTCTGGTACCTAAAATCATGTAGCACGCCCCCCAATTGCCTGTGTTGCACTTCAGAGCAGGCTGATTGTTGATGTCAACAGATCCATCGCCGGTGTATTCTGAACCTACATCCTACATCGCAGTACCAGGATATCCAGTTTGGAAATTTGCAACTGTAAATCTCTCGCGGAGGACCGACAAGAACTGAAGAATTACACGTGCTAACTGAAATTATTCTCATATATACTAGTGTTGGGCAGTACCTGATTATACGGTAGGAGATGAAGCAGGGGCCTCTCCTCGTCTGCTGCTGCTGCTTCCATGGCTGCTTACAAGATGGAGCAGATGAGGGTTAAGGGGTGGAGCTCAGCACCTAAAAGTTACCTGCATGTGCTCTTGTCTACTTTTGTTCTGAAGAGTGGTAGGTTGCCTATCAGTTATCACTAAGATATGGTAAAAAGGTGGCACGCTCATTCCAAATCAAGGGATCGCGTGTGTTGTGACCGCATTTTCTAGTGATTGAACTATGATTAAAGGGTTCAATGTTAGCTACAGACCACAGTGCTGTCTCTATTCGCCTACATCAGGACCCATGGCCATGCCATCTCCTCTCCCTCTCACTCACTCATTAGCAGCAGTGCTATTCTCCAACTTCTGTAGGGGACTAGGAGGTAAATTTTTTTCTTTGATTCTGTTCAGAACTAGTATATATGTCGACCTGACTGTACTTTTGAAACCACAAGGAGCAGACACACACCTTTGCAAATGCAATCAATGGCGCTGGTGGTTGTCTACTTAGAGGATTGGTTATGTTGGAGGGGCGGAGCAGATGGTTACCGAAAAAGGGTTTCCCGCCGCTTTGTATTCCAAAGCATCAACACCGATACAGAGTAGACGCTGGGGCGAGCAGCACAACAAGCCAAAGAAAAAGAAAAAGAAACAATGCCAACACCGGCAGCTCGACAGACGCGAATGACCTACAACCGCTGTGCCCTCCGAAAACTACCACCACGATCCTAGGTTCCGATCCTCCAAGTATCAAGCAGCACCTCCAGGAAGGAAACGACGCCGACGACGCTGCTGCCCGGACGAATCCTAGGGTTTCCCCGGCACACGGAGGGTAGAGGGGAATGAAGACCACCGGCACCCTCCAGGGAGGAATGGTGGCACCCGCAGGCGTCACCGCACCGGAGCCGGAAGATCCGGCAAGGATTTCTCCCCACTCCAAACCCCACCGCCCAACCAGATCGGAGCCAACCACCCAGCTCTCCGTCGACCACCTTGCGCCACCACGGTTGCGCCACCACCCATGCCGCCTCACTGCGAACGCTACCACGAGGCCAAGAGACCCGAAGAGAAACGCCAAACGACGGAAGCAGCGGCACCGCTACCGAGCGGGAGGGACCCACCTCCCCCGCCAACGTGCGCCCCAGCACCATCGCGGTCGCCGGCCGGACGCGGCAGCGGGGCACACTAGGCCACCCCTGGCCCGGCCAGACCCAAACGGGCCCGCAAAGCCCCAACGTCCACGCTGCAGCAATTCTGTATCCGCGTCGCCAGCCCGCCGCCGCTCGTCGCCACGCCCCAGCCTCCTGGAGGTCGCGCCGCAGGCTCACCCCGCCGCCGGCCCGCCCGGGCACATGGGGCCCGAAGGGCCCAGATCTGG